TTTAATTCTCCTTTGTGGTACAACAAGCGAAAAATCCTCACTGACTTACACTTGAGTGATTAGCTCGCGGCTTTGTAAGGCAGAAATCAGTTATCCAATGGCTGAGGTCCCTGTGGCATCAAGGTGCTGGAAGACTTGGGTGTGCTTTCAAACTCATTCTTGCTGTTGGAAGAATTGACTGCCTCCTGTCTGAAGAACCCTTGTTGGAGCACAATGGTTCTGGTGGGCGGTAATCTTTCTGTAACACTGTGAAGATGCGTCTCTGCCAAGGCACCTTCTGATTGGTTTAATAAAGAGCTAAATGGCCAATAGCTAGGCAGGAGAGAGTAGGCGGAACTTCCGGGGAGAGAAAGGAACTCGGGGCAAAAGAGAGGCAGAGGTACGGCAGTGAGACACTGAGGAAGTCAGAGGTACAGCATGAGAGAGAGGTAAGAAGCCGTGTGGTTAAAAATGTAGATTAACAGAAGCAGGTTAATTTAAGTTGTAAGAGCAACTTGGAAACAAGCTTAAGAAAATGGCCAAAATTTCATAATTAATAATAAGTTTCCATGTCGTTATTTGGGGCTGGTGGCTGAAAAGGAAGTCTGACTACAGTGGTCAGTGTTCCCTTGCTGGCGGATGAATCTAAAGCTGCCCCCAGCTCCTAAATACCACTCACATTCCTGTCAGTGTCCCTCAAACCTCAGACTTGCAATATCAGGTCACATCTTCCTTGTGCTTTGAGTCTCTGACTCCGTTTGTTAAGATGAGACAGACAATTCTATTTTCCTCCCATGACTTTGGCCAATAGCATGTATCAGGCACTCAGTAAAGCAGATTTTGAGGGAACTATGAACTACATAGAGGGTAAACACTTAGTATTTAACACACTATGCGCTCCAAAGTTGTTTTTTAAAAGATTCTTTAATTCTGTCTGGGTAAATTATATTTAATTCTGGGTAAATTATATCTCTGAATCCTGGCAGAACCACAGGTGACATTTCTGTAAAACCAAGTCAATATACATTCAACTCACTAAAACCCAACCTTTGTTGAATGAACAAATGAATTTTGCTTGGTAATTCTCCTACATTAGGAGAAGGGGATTGGTCCAAATAACGCACCCCATCATCACCAATAGAAGCCTGCCTTAGTGGTAATTAGTTCTCCATTGCCACACTATAGGGAAATGAACATCTCACTTACATCTCACTTAATATTACACATGAAGAAACACAACTGGGTTTGAGCTGTGCGAATGAGCTCATCTTAAACATTTGAAATGTTTTTTCAGCCAAATTATGATGCAAGCCTCTAAAGGCAAGAATATGTACTTTTCACTGTACTGTTTCTAAGTAAATTTACATATGCATAAAATACCATTTAGTAGATATTAGCTATACTTTTGTGACCATGTACAAAGTCATTTTCAAAATGCCTGGTTATAATAATTCCATATATTAAAATATATCCATAACAAATTCATTAAGTTATGAAGAAAAAATCTATAAACTATTTTTGAAGTGACTATATTAAATTGTAAACATAATATATTGGGTGAAGCTTAGAAGTTTTGACCTCCTCATCACAGATGAATCTTCCTTTAGTCAAAAGAATATTGAAGATGTTTGTTACAGGATACTTTTCTTACCCCGTGTGGTACATTTAATAAAGTTGCAACTTTGTTAAAAATCACCTTTGTCATAGTAATCCCTTAATAATGATTACCTAAAGATTGCTGTGAACCAAGTAACACCTAGATAAAACTAGCGAGATAAAAATAAATAAGGTAATGGAAATGCTGCCCGTCTTTGGGGGTTATACATACAATTTCCTTACAGTCAGGACAAAAGGCGCAAACAAGGTATTACATGTGTCTCAACAAATTATCACATGTGTCTCAACAAGGTATCACACCTGTCTCACTGTGTGTTGGAAGAACCTGAGCATCCCTTTTACAAACAAGAGCATTGGCATACAGAGAGTGGAGAGGACTGAGGAGGCATCACAGAGAGTGTTTAAATGAATCCAGATCTCCAACTGTCCAAGTCAGTTGCATTTAAAAGCGTCTCATTGTGACCCACAGCAAGCAAGGACTGCCTATCAATTTAAGATGTACCATGTATCAAGTATAGCACTAAAATAAAAATGATTCTGCCTGCTATATCCTAACAGTGCCAAGACATCCTGAATTCTGAGCGCCACAATTCTTTCCTTCCTTCCTTTCTTTTTTTCTTTCTTCCTTTTGTATTTTGCTTGTTTTGTTTTTCAAGACAGGGGTTCTCTGTGTAGCCCTAGCTGTCCTAGAGCTCACTCTGTAGACCAGGCTGGCCTTGAACTCGGGGAGATGCACCTGCCTCTGCCTCCAGAGTGCTGGGATTAAAGGCGTGCGCCACCTGGCTGCATCCCAATCTCTAAAGCATGGGGCTGGGGCTCTTAAAGCAATCTATGTTTGTGCAGAGAATTAAATGGGAAGGATTTGGTCCCAATTTTTCTGTCTTATTCTATTTATTGTTTTTGAACTCTTTTAATTTTACCAACCACTATTGTGTGTACCTAATCTAAATCATGTGTCACAGGTCAATAGAAAGTTTGTTGACATATACAGCCCATGCGCTAATGTTTGATTTGATGGCAGATGAGGAAGAAAGGGAATGATTTAATGTGGACAGAAACCTCTACTTGGCATAATCTCATATTAGAATGGGAAAAGCTTAACCTGTGATGAGAAAATACTACATCGCAAGATATGGAAAAGGGAGTAAGTGATTGAGAAAGTTAAATCTGGGAATTACACTTCTCAAATGTGAATGAGGAAAATGTTTCCTTAAAAAGAAAACATAAGCACTGAGTTTAATTAAAAGACCAGATAAAGATAATGCTTCAATAATAAAAGCATTGATAATTTTAAAAATGAAAACAAAATCTTATGCTTTGCCTGCAAAAAATAAAAAATAAAAATAAAATAAAAATGCAGCAACTTGAAAGGATTATAGGCACCAAAGGATGGCTAATTTAGATAAAACCTAACACAGAACTTGTTTCTATCCTTGTCTCTATGAACTCAAAAGCGTTCAAGTCTGAGAACAAAATGGAATGAAAACAACCGACTTGATTTCCCAACTTTTATGTGTTTCTCTTAGATTCTCCATTAATGAAAAAATATCACACACATACATACGAAAAACAAAAAACAAACAACCCCCTTCCCCCCAACACAAGTTGAAATCTTCTGCTTGATAGCTTCTGTGAATTAACAAACAAACGAACAAAAATCCAGGGAGATAATGGGATTCCCAGTATAAAATTAGCTGGCTGAAATCCTGAGTGACTTCTGTCTAAATCCAACCCCAGAACTGTGTCTGTCCTTCTGGCAAATCGCAACTAAACAAGAACAAAACCAGAAGCCCGTTTTATTCACGTATGTAAAATGCATGCACCAAAGTGTAAGAATGCCATCACACACGCACACGCACACGCACACACAAGCAAACGTGCAAACTTGGCAGCTAGGAAATGTCAGTGCACTTGTTAGAAGGTGAAATTTCAGTCCCTTTGATGAAGATACCATCTTTCAGCCAAGCCCTGACAAAACCTTTTGGTGCCTGTTAGAGCTCCCCCCCCCCTTTGCTATTCAGTGGCTGGGCTCCATCTGGAGGTATGGGGGCTCTTCCTCTCCATCAGAGCTAAGCATTCCCAGACCCACCGCCAGCCCCGGGTTCCTGCAGAGCACTCAATGTACAGAGAAGTGTCCCAACTCTGCAAAGGGCAGCTAGAAATGGATTTAAAATGGCAACGCCGACCAATCAGCACTGTCGCGCCCAGGCAGACATTTACACGCTCCTCAAGTACAGCGGAACGTGGCAGAGCCTAGCTCCCGGCTTATGGCAGCAGAGTAGGCATTTTTATTCCACGGTGGTCTGCATCTTTGTAAGAAAAGAAAAGAAAAAATCTTCATTGGGTGATCGTCTTTATTTTGGAGTCAATCCAAGACAATTTTGGGTGTGATGTGTGAAAATCTGAACCTAAGATTTTTTTTTCCCCTTTCAGTTTTGTGTTATTCAAGGATGAAAAGGAGGTACATTTGAGAACATTCTCCACCTTTTAAAAACTGACTGTGGTCATGATGGTGTTCACATAACCCAGAACACAGCCCAGGCTATAAAATTAGGACTTGGCAGAAAGGAATTCTTAGGAACAAGGTTAAATGAAGGTAAACTAAAGGAAGTTAGGCAATGGTGAGGAAAAGAATCTATAAGGTCCCTATGCTCTGTGGGCGTCCGAAGACGGGCGTGCAGCGCCAGCTCCAGTAGTCATTCCCGGAGGAATTAAAAAGCCCGATACAGAAGCTGGCGCGCTTGGCGTTCCTGTGTGCAGAGTGCAAATGTGTGCATTTGTTGCGAATGTGCTCGCGGGGCCATTCGTGTGCCTGGAAGTGTGCGTAAGCACGCGTTTGTTAGCGTGTGAGTTTCCCAGTGCAGTGTGGATGTGTGCACGTGCGTCTGCGTGCAAGTGTGGGTGAGATCACACGCGTGGGCGCATGTATCTTTGTGCATGCTGTGTTTGTGCACCGGCCGGCGCGCTCTGGGGTGAGGGCACCTCTCAATTGGAGCGAGGCTGTCTCCGGGCGTGCTCTGCCGACTCCTTGGTCGCCCTTTCCTGGGGTCTGAACTAGAAGGCGGCGGCGGCGGCGGCGGCCGTTGGCCCGGGATGCTTCCGGCCACCTTCAGGTTCCGCTCGGCGGAAGAGCAGGTAGAGGCCACGCTCCCTAAGGTGGCTTTGAGACAGTCCTTTTCTCTCGCCTCCCCAGGACAAACGCCCAGGGGTAGGTGACCTCGGACGGCCAGAGGGACCAGATTGGTGGCGAGCCGGGCTGAAGAGCCTAGGCCCTGTCTCTTTAACCCCACCGCCGGCGGGAGCACGTGAGCCGGGGCTCCGGGTGGCACTCGGGCGCCGCCGCCGCCGCCGCCGCCGCCAAGGCAGTTGTGTTTCGAACGCTGCCTCTGGCGGGCTGCCAGGCGCCTCGGCTCGGCGGTCCGCCCAGCCTCCCCCAACTCCTCTGGCCTCTCCTGCAGCCCCCTCCCCTTTATCCGCCCACGACCAGAGGTGGGCAGTCGCCCCCCCTTCCGCCCCCCCCTCCGCAAGCCCGCGCGCGCGCGCGCACACACACACACATAGGCACACACACACACACACACACACACACACACACACACACACGCACACGCGCGCGCGCGCACACACACTCATCGCTCTTGAATCCTGGGCAGGAACTCTGAAAACTTCCAACCCCGGCAGCACGCACGGGGTGCAGAACTCAGAGGCCAGCAGCTTGTTTCCCCCCACGACACTGCAGGGCCGCCGCCGCCGCCGCCGCCGCCGCCTGCCCCCGCCACCCGAGGAGGCGTGGTGCCACCCACTGCTCTCAGTTCCTTGCTAGAGTTGAGCTGTGCGCCCTACCCTGATCCGGGCAGAACCTTCCCATCCTTTCCCTGCTTTCTGACGGCACAAGAGTCAGTCTCTCGGTCTCTGCCCCTCTCTGTGTGTCTCGGTCTCCCAATCTCGCTCTCCCTCCAATCTCTCTCTCTCTCTCTCTCTCTCTCTCTCTCTCTCTCTCTCTCTCTCTCTCTCTCTCTCTCTCTCTCTCTCTCTCTCTCCACTCTCTCTCTCTGTAGGGTGGGGGAGAGGAGGAGGAATTCTTTCCCCGCCTAACGTTGCAAGGGACACAATTCACTCCAAGTCTCCCTTTCCAAGCCGCTGCCAAACGTTCCCAGTGCCCGCAGCTCCCGATCCTCAGAGGAGAGAGGAGCCCTCTCTCCACCTTCAATTCTCCCTCTCCCTCGCTGCTTCCCGCCTCCTCTCGCTACCTCCACCTCCACCTCCACCTCCGCCACCCACCGCCCGCAGCGCCTCCTCCTCCTCCTCTTCTCCTCCTCCTCCTCTCCTCCTCCTCCCCTCTCTCTCTTTTTGGCAGCCGCTGGACGTCCGGTGTTGATGGTGGCAGCGGCGGCAGCCTAAGCAGCAGCAGCCCTCGGCGCGCGCCAGCTCCGCCAGCTCTCGTCGCCCCTGCCTTCTCCAGCCTTCTTCATTCCCGTGCTGGGCGGATCCGGGGCGGCGGAGGGCGAGCGGCTGCAAGCGGCGGTAGCGGCGGAGGCAGCGGTAACGGCGGCGGGAGGCAAGGATGAGCGCACGCGGTGAAGGCGCCGGGCAGCCGTCCACTTCAGCCCAGGGACAACCTGCCGCCCCGGCGCCGCAGAAGCGAGGACGCGGCCGACCCAGGAAGCAGCAGCAAGTCAGTACGCCGGCGCGGAGGGGCCACTCAGCCCACCCGCGACGCCTCTGCCCCGGGGGCCCCCCGCGACAAGCGGGGCGACCGGAGCGCGGGAGCGCAGCGACCAGGGCGGCGCAAGCTTGCCCGCCAAGCCCCGGGGTGTAGGTGGGCGGGCGGGAGATCAATTCCCCCCACCGGCGAGTGCGCGGTGCGAGCTCCCGGGTACCCGCGCCCCCACGGCTCCGGGAGGTGGGGGGTCCGCTGCCCTCCGCAGCCACCCGGCGGGAGGTGGGGTCGCGCGAGGCGCGCGTACCGGGACTTTCGCTATTGTGCGCAGCCCCGGAGCAGCGCGGCGTGGCTCGAGGGGGGACAGTGAGTTTCTGGGGTTCCACAGACTGAAAAAAAAAGCATTGCTTTGTCAGCCGCTTTTGCAACCGTTCAGCCAGAGGGCTTGCTAGGGATTGGGGCGTTCAGGGGGCTCGGGACTCCGAGGCTCCGAGACCCCGCGGCTTTCTCCAGCGTCTCGGGGCTGCCTGCCCGCAGGAGGCTGGTGTGCGGCGGCCGTCCCCCTCGGTGCCCTTCCCACACTCCATGGCCCAAGGCTCGCGCCCTCCCGACAAAGAACGCGTGCGGAACTGACTGCCTGCCGGCTGCTCCTCGGGATCTTTAAACGCCTGCGGAGTTGCAGCCGCGCGAGCTGGCAGGGAAGGGAGCCCGGGGAATCTCGGGTCCCCGAGGGACCGGGGAACGCGCTTCGCCCAGGGAGCTTTGGAGGGAGAGTCCAAGGGAGTGCCCGGTAGCTAGGACCGCTTCCCCGCCAAGAGCCCTGTCGCCGCTTTGGCTCCTGGATCCCGCGCTTCAGAGCAGCAGAAGTTTAGCGTCCTCGTGGGCGAATAACTGGGAGCTGGGAGGAGACGGTCGAGGGGCACCCAGGACCCCGCGGAGTGGAGGGTTTTGTCTGCGGATGCAACCAATTAAGCGTGCAGCCGGCTATTGCAAAGCGGTGCGCGGCGCCCAGGGCCGGGGGCTGGGAGGTGAGGGGCGGGGGTGTGCGGAGTCTGCAGCAATTTCCAAATCTAGGGACCTGACTATTGAGAACAGTTAAACTTCGCTTCCTGGACTTTAAAAACACTTCTATTTTCTTCTTTTGCCTTCAGTCTCTTTCCTTGGGCAAAAAGAAGAGTTAGAAAACAATCCTAAAGTCCCAAGTTGCCCCCGGGTGCTGCTAGATAGGAAATCGAAAAACGATGGCTAGCGTGTTTTAGAAAAAACGAGGGGTGTACCTTTTTAAAATCATCAAAGGAAACAAGCCAATCTGGAGGCCTCCGAGTTTTCCCGCTCTGCCCTTAGCGACACTTTACTGTGCATTTGGACCCTGTTTTACACCTCCCAGGAAGTCTCCGCTCTACCCTCTCCCTTCCCCAGCCAGCCACCCAGCTTTTCCGAATTCTACTAATCGCACCTCCTCCCTCCTCAGTTAAAAAAAAAAAAAAAAAGGTCTAAAAGAAAACGCAAGGGGATCCGGAGGTGACCGGGAGTTTTTACCTTTGAGTAAAGGCCGAGCTCACAAAGAAAAATGTGTTTCCGATGCGCTCGCTCTAAGTGCCCACTGGCGCGAGTATCTAAGGGGAGCTTCCAAGAAACCTTTCCCCATGCTCTCTAAGTGGAACGCGAACTTCCATTGAGAACTTTCATGAGCTGTAATTAGTCTCATTTTAAACACCCAGTCTGAATGAAATGAGAGGAGATGATTCATCGGAGAGATGTTCAGCGTCCCCGGAGTACCAATCATCACATTTTCTTAACTGCTGGAGTATTGACTGCTTAGCCTAAGCACCCAATACAGGAAAGCGTTGATGTACCTGGTGACCTGGCCGGCTCAATTTCTCCATCCCAGATTCTTACACTCCTCTCACATCACCCCCTTTTCCTTTCCCGTCCACCCCCCACAAGACTTTCTTTAAAAAAAAAAAAAAAGAATTTGAAGACAACGTGTTTATTTTTGTAAAAAGATATTTCAATTTCGACTGGAGACTATGCCTGTCTCTCCAAAAGGAAGTGGAGAATTGAAGCAATTATCTAGATAATTCAAGCAAAACCTCCCACCTCAGATTTACCATAATTATTTGGAAAATTTTAGGGGGTATGGAATTATTCCATACTGAGCTGAAGAGTTTGGATAATCGCTCCAGTATTGCACTCAGAATGTGTGGGTTGAATCCTAAACCACCTGAAACAGGTATATAGAAGCTATTCCAAGCCATCCTTTCAATGCGTCCGTCTCTCTTTCCAGCTATCTATGATGTTGGGTTCTATTTCTGCTGTTTGAGATCCCAGTAGACTGGCTAGTGGTAGTCATATAAAAAAAATGTTTATTATTTCTGCGAGTTGCCAAGTGCACAGCCATGTAAACTTTGTACCTGAAAAACATGTGACTTTCTAGAACACGCAACCCCTCCAGGCTTTACTATCATTTTGATTTCGAAATACAATCCAGTTTGCACACGTAAAGTAGTTTCCTCTTTGAGCACTGGGATTCGAACTACGGTTATTACACTCCCCCCCCCCCCCGCTGGCCCCCTCACCCCCCCCTTTTTTTTTGTAAAGGCTGTACCACCATCCTCCAACTATGCATGAACTGAATGACTTCCAGCAGGCTTGTTAAGCAGCACATGCAGAAAACACTGGCAGAGTCAGGGTCAATCTCTTTCAGCCGCTCTAGCCACAACAGCTTTTTCTTTCCTCCCTACAATTAGGAGCCAACCTGTGAGCCCTCTCCTAAGAGACCCAGGGGAAGACCGAAAGGCAGCAAAAACAAGAGTCCTTCCAAAGCAGCTCAGAAGGTGAGAAATTTCAAGTGAAGTTCTTCTAACATTACCAATGACCTCCCTGTAAATTTTCCCATTCTAAATCCACACACCAGGATTGGTCCCGGCTGAGTAACCCAAGACATCATTGCTGTATTTACTGGATGGGTCTTAACTTTTTTTTTTCCTTTTTTCTTTTTTTTTTTTCTTCCTTTGTGGATGCTTAGTTTAAAAGTTTCCTGGAGAGACAGTGATTTTTAGGCAAACAAAGAGCCATCAAATAATCTAAATATTCAGGGTGGAGGAGAATGGATGGGGGAGGTGGAATAGGGACAGGGCTGGGTGGGATGGGGTGGAAATGACATCATTAATATTTACACCCATGGAGAACTACTTCATAATAAGTCAAAGCTACAGATTTTGACTAGTGATGATGTTCCTGCAATTTCCTTTGGAAAAAAATAATTGAGACTCATTTATTCAGGGTTTATTTACATGATGACTGGAAGCCAAGTCTCCTATTAAAGTTAAGTACTTTGTCAAATAGATGCTAATTAAAAAGAAAATCCAATTATGGGTTACTGGAATAAAGTTTCATGATTTTTTTTTTTTTTTTTACAACTTTAAATGTGATAAAGTGCATGTGCAGGAAAAACCTGTAAGATAATAAATATTGTCACAATCAAAAGAAAGTTTTCCCCAAAGTGTTGCACTCTCAGTTAGACAACAAGAAGTTTGGAAAGCAACTATTTGTCTTACTTAATATTTTGGGTGTGTGTATGTGATAGACCCCCCCCCCCAATCAAGTTTGACATCCACCTTTTTTTTAACAGATTTTAATTTGCACCTTTAAAATAATTTCGTGCTGGTTGTGTGTGGTAGCAAAGAGGAAGTGCCCCACAGTAAGTGCCTGCATAGAGGAGTGAGGAAGAACCTCTGTCCTCTTTGGTTTTAGAAAATAAATGGGAAATAGTCTGCATCTTATTTGTAAGCGTGTGCTGCAGTTGAAAGGAATGTTGCAAACATTAGGAAGAGCTCCCCACATAACTTTTCAATAGATTTAAACACACAGCGTTTGTTTAAAATGACCCTATGCTCATCTTTGGGGGATTAATAGTCTGTGTGTATTTTCCTGTGAGCGCAGCCACTACCCACATTAGATGTAATGGTTCTCAGTGGTCTATCCTGTCATAGCAACTAGTGATGTATAAAAGCCACTTAGGAAGTAATCATGACTTCTGGCTGTTTCATTTTTACAGCTTTGAAAAGAGTTGAAAGAGCAGATTTCTCTACTATGTGAATTAACTGCATTTTAAAATTCAGATTTGTAGTTAGTATCTAACCAATTAACCCTCCAGTGTTTCTAAATAACCTTATTAAGAAATAATACCCAATCTGGTATTCTTCCTAGGAGCGTTTTTTCTTCCTTTTATTTATAAATGAACTAAAATGGACTTAAAAAGAAAACAAGAACACAGAGTTACTCTGTGTCCTGTTTCTGTGATGCTTCTGCTCTGAGGCAGCATAGGAATGTCTTGGTAGTTATCAGCAGATATTTAAAATATGATGTAATCACTCTTCAGATGCCTCATCATAATGCTATTTAAGGAATCTTTAAGGCTCACCATCAATAAATGATTTGAAAGCTAATATAAAAAGGAAGGTGGATTATCTTCTTAATGTCTCTGACACTTTCACTGGAATGAATAGGTAGAAATGGTCCTCTCATGGTCTTTCCACTTTACAAAGTTTATCTTATAAAAATGATCTTGGACTAAGAGTATCTTTATGGATAAAAGGAAAGTTAAGACTTGTGCCTGATTTAACATACAAAACCAAACCAAACCAAAAAAAAAACAAAAACAAAACAAAAAAAATCTTATCCAGCCGGGCGGTGGTGGCGCACGCCTTTAATCCCAGCACTCGGGAGGCAGAGCCAGGCGGATCTCTGTGAGTTCGAGGCCAGCCTGGTCTCCAAAGTGAGTTCCAGGAAAGGCACAAAGCTACACAGAGAAACCCTGTCTCGAAAAACCAAAAAAAAAAAAAAAAAAAAAAAAAAAAAAATCTTATCCATTTCCAGTCTGTTTGGTTTTTCAGTGACTTTAGCCATAAGCATCTACAGATGGCCCCACCAGGCTGCCCTCTTCCAGTAATTCTCCTTATATATACACATACTTGTGTAATTACTAAAATACAAATACCACTCCCCCAAAAAAGACTTTTTCTGGACTCTTTCATTCTTCAAGGTATAATTATTTCATATAATTCTATTACAAATGTTCCTCTTTTAATAAAAGTGAACAAATACATGAGCCTAGAACATGACTATTGTTTTTCTTCAGTTTTATAAATTACACTTTATTTGGTGAAGATGAGAGCAAGGACATTGGAAAGTCATTCCTGGAATGGATACAAATTCAAGTGTTTACCTTTCAAATCAGTTTTTCTGGAGGATATTCCTATGCCTTTAGGCACACGACTAGGTTATTAACTGTGTATTGTATTCCAACAAGGCATATGCCCATTATGATTTTGAACTGAACACCTTTTTAGAAAGAGTTAGTTATACAGTTCAAAACATGCAAGATGAAAATACTCAACTAGACTGAGCTGAAAACACTTGAAAAGTCTTCTATAAGATTAAGGAAGGGAATATTTTTCTGCACTCTGGTAATCAT